CCATGCTGTAAGAGTCATGTGACACGTGCGCATTAGCTGTGAAGCTTTTTGCCGATTTCGTCCATTTCTACGCTTTACACGGGATTTCCGTTCTTATGGCACGTAGTAGCACGAGACTGGCATGCTGCGATAGGCCATTGAACGGGAAATCCCATGGTGTCACAAGTGTCGCAAGCGCGGGGTGGCACGTTACACGTGTCGGGCACACACGAGCCAGGAAGATGGCTTTTGATCTATTCCACGGGTTTACACGCTTTGTGCCACATCTCGGCACCCAGAGCGCGGAGGCACTGAGGAGTGGCATGCATGAATAACAAATCGAACAGACAAAGACGTTGCATGAATTGTCATGTTGCACGTGCTGCGTGTAACGCGTGCACGAGCCAGCAAGATAGATTTGGCCGTTACCGGCCGATTTTCACTCTTCGATACAATGCAATGCTGTTTAATACAACGGCAGCGCGCGCTGCCATCATCCAAAAGGTTGACAGTTGATGGAAGGGGCAAAAATCACCGGCCACACCCCACGACCATTCGCCCATCCCATGGAATAGGTTGTGCTGCAGAGAGCGCGGCGAAATACGCTCTCTACTGCTGGCGGCCGCCGGAGACCGCCAGTACCGCGCGCGGCCTGCGTCCGAGTCTTTCACACTTTGCACGATATCTGGGCAACCAGACCACCTAGAACTGCGATTCCAACTGCAAAAGATATACAACGAAAAGTTCTTAATTTTTCACTTAGCGCAGCGAAACAAGCGCTTGCGTGCTTGCTTCGCTGCGCTAAGTGAATGGCGTTTCAGTTATTGTCACGTTTCGCTCCACATTTCGGCAACCAGGACACCTAGAAGCGTGATTTACACTGCAAATAATATATAATTAAGAGCTGTAAATTATTCACGTTGTACTCAGCGAAGCAAGCGTGCAAGCGTTTGTTTACCTTATTTGAAGTCTATGACGTGGTGGCATGTGGTTCATATAACCTGAAGAGACATCCCCTAACTAGTTTATTTTCTCTTTCGAGCTCTTACAATTTTTTCCTGGTCACGCAGTGGCTGCATATACCAATCCTACGTAATGCTCACCTACGGCGGAACCACTACCTGCCATTTCTCAGGGGAACAAATACACCCCCTCCTCCCGTCCTTTTTCCCCAATGGGGGGCACAACGCGCGGTAACCCATCCCTGAAGTCAAACTTGAGCGTCCCCTCATGCCCCTGATCGGATGTGGATCCACAGCTACGCGGCAGGGGATGAAGCTTGCTTTGCGTAATAGTGACGCAGAGGGGGATCAATGCAGCAGCAGTGTGTGACGTACATCGCCTTCGCCTAGCTCGATTGAACCCGGTAAATGCCGCAGTCGCTTTTACCAGTCTGAGCGCACATCAGAGAACGTTTGGCTGCACTTAGAGCCACACCATATACGCCGGTGGTGCAGACCTGGCAAGATAACTGAACTCTTTGATCCTCAAGGAGCGTTTTCGTTGGGATGCTTTGGTCACCACTGTATTACATGAACAGATTTCCCTCAACAAACCAACAAACAAACAAAGCCATTTGGAATCGGGCGTCCAAGCCATAGTGCACCTCCGGGGTTAAAACACAAGATATATCTTCCTGCGAACGTTTGCCACTGTACAGTGCACATGCACACGATAATTCACCTATGCATAGTATGGTCTCTGGCCCAGATGATAGTGCACTGTACTGAGAAGAAGCTATGACACTGCGATAAAATATCGCTAGAATGGGGGGACGGACGTCCTTCTACGTTGGAAAGGGGAAGAGATGATAGCTATTTGGAGTAGCTGTTTTAGGTCGACGCCCACAGGGTTAATGCTAACTTTTCAGACAGTTGTAGGGCTCAGCCCCTGCCCGCATTCCTGGTTCCCGCGGCTCCACACCTTGCGGTGGCGCAGCGAAAGGCACACGAGGAATTTGCGTATAACGAAGGCCGTTTTGGGGAATGCCAGTGATTACAGGCAGAGTTTTTCACTCCTCTTTATTTAGGTTTTTTGATGATTTCACGACTCGTCCTCCATAAACAATTGGCGCTCCCTCCTCCCCGGTCAGTGGCTCTGCCAGCTACGGCCACAGGCTCCCTATTCTCGTGCCTTTGACGGAGTCCGAAAGAATGCGACCACCACTGATATTTCATGACCTATCCTTTCCCAGCAGCTTATCTGTCTGGAACACTGGGATAACAAGTGCATTGAGAAACATTTCAGTCAGTCTATGCATCTGAAAAAGGAGCATGGACCCTTGGCCTTTCATGAAAAGAAAATTGGCAACAACCATGGGTCATTCAAGCGTGTGTAGTCGATCCGCGTTTTCAGCTGTGTATGTAATTTTCAACGCGCATCGATGCATGACTTGCTGCTGTCAGGGAAAATAACTTAGGATTAATTACATTGACATGGAGGTACCTGTCACGGTTGCTATTGCGATAGACTTGCGAGGCATTTATAAGACTTATGAATATTGGTCGAACATAGCTCAAATTTTTGAAAATTGGCCGGTAGGTTTTGGCCATTTTCACTATCATCCCGCACTGATATCGATTTTTGTTCATCTCAAGACTCCTGCGTATGGCTAAGTTGAAGGATGGGGATTGAACTACCCTACGTTGCTCGTGCAATTCCGGATTCTATTTTGGTTGTTTCGTTAATGACATGTCATAAAGTTTCGTTTTGCCCAAACATAGTCGACAGTATGTCTCTCTCAATGACTCTACGACCCTAAGGTAATGGAGCGTGACCAAAACGCAACAAGGGGAGGCGGCGGGTTTAAACAGCGTAGCATCACGTGCAGGTGTTTCGAATCATGCTTAAGTATTTCATCTTAACTCTTTCAAATCTTTCAAAACCTTGAGACCGGATACTGTTGGTTTTCTTTCAGGACAAGTCCGTTTTTTTGCCCATCCGTCTCAGCAGCCTTGTGAGTGTTGCCAGATTGGGACGCTATGCAGAACGCTGCGTAAACAGGGAGAGGGGAACGGAGGATGAACAAAAATGCGTAACGTAATTGATAGATCTCTGAAATGTAATGCCATGTCTATGCTGGTGCGGTTTTGCGCGCGGCTCTGATGGATTTGACGTGACATCAGCGTGATCCTTCTCCTACCAAGGTAATCGCGGTCGTGGTAAGTGGTTGCCGCGCCCAAAGCCATGTAAGGGCACAGATGTCTGGGAAACTGGTCCCGGAATCCACTCCCGAACCAAATCATTCATATCACGACCCACCCAGACAACGCTTGGTAGCGGCTATTATCTTGGTGAGAGCAGTCGATGCGTGTACGTTATCAATGTTGTCCTGTGCTAGGGGAGAGCGGAAGGCCGTGTTTGACCATTGCCAATCTCAACTGTCATGCAGACAAGTATGCATGACAAGTATGACTGCCCTCCCGCTGCGCCCCGCACACCGCTTCATGCCCGAGCACAGACTACTCGGGCATGAAATGTGTGAGTAATGATCATGAGTGTTGTGCCAGCCGAGATGCAATCTCGGCTTTAGCTCTGAACGGGATTTTCGCTTGCCTTCAGGCAGACACAGCACCTGGGCCTAATTACGCCACACGGAGCTTCGACCATGAGTTCTTTTGACGAACGTTTTCATGACTAAGGGATATCGGAAGCCAAAAAGTAGCATGAATACGCGTGCGATGAAGATGGCGATGCCCTTTAGTTCTGTTCAAAAGGACCGAAAGTGTTGCAATTTTGCGAAGAAAAGAATTTCCTGGTTGTACAGTGCAGCACATACGCGATATTTAGCCAATTATCGACTGTCCACGGCGGTTCGCAGCCCGGCCATTGGCCGTTTCTGCTGCCATTCTTGATCACGGGACGTTACGTTGTCGTCGTAGTCCTGCGCGGCCCAGTATTTTCCACGTCGACAAAATGCATCCAATGACTCGGCGGTCTATGAGAACGATCAACTGCAATGCAGGTCACATCGGTCCGCCCGGGGCTTCTTTCTGACGATTTGCCCCGCAGGTCACATCGGTCTGCCCGATACTCCTCTATGTCGAGGAGTCAGCCTCAAAACAGCTGAAGGACAGCGATTGTCATGTTTGGCAGCTGTCCACGTGCCTGCCGAAATGATTGTCCGAAAGAAGCCATAAGTGGTCCTTTGCCCTCGTTAAGCATCAGGCTGTACCCAGTCACGGGTCGTCTGCTGATCGCCCAAGCAAATTTTGATGTCGGCGTGGTTGGAGTCATTTGGTTGGCAATCCAGAGATGGGGGAGACAGTCCTGACAATAATCGTTTGGTCTGTCATATAATTTGTTGTGGTTGAGGAGCTAGTGTGCCGCAACCATTAATGCGCCAAGCTAAACCAGTGTGACAGCCCATTCCAGGACATTCATGACTGTCTGCGCATCCGGATTCCGGCGTCCATTCCTGATGCCGACTCCGGCGCAAATCGAATGTTCGGTCGGCGCCGAGACGAGGGACAGAGCCATTTAAAATAGTCGTATCTCGCGTTAGGAAATCCTAAGCGTTAGGAAATCACCTGCCCAACCAAAGAAAGCAACAAAAGTCCTCGTGCGCCAAAAAAAGACGGGTTTTGGAGCTTGAGCGTGGTTCTGCTAAAGAATATCTGAGTTCTGGACCCCAGATGTCCAAGCAAAAAGCCAGCTTTAAATGCTAATAAGCCCCCTTCTGCTGGTGACGAGCAGTGGCACCCGGTATATTGCTCAATACCGCAACAGGTCCGGAAGTCAGGGCCAAACGCGACTGCGTGTTGTCACGCATCGGTATAGAGGACGGCCTCTGCCCCTGCCCCGCCCCCGCTTTCGCCGCCGCCGCCGACGGCTCCCGTCCTTCGTCTGCCGGGCAGGCGGCCAGCGGCCTTGCTCGGCCCGGGCGGCGCGCGGCCGGCCCCGTCGAGCGGCGGAACGAGGCTCGACGCCGCCGCAGTCGGCACTGGCCGGCGCCACTGACCCAGTTGGCGGTGCGGACTGCGGTGGCGATGGTTCTCTCGTGATGCGTGACTCGCCTCCAGATCGTGGCGCGTGACATTGGGGAGCGGATCACAGTGTCACGTCATTTCGTCGTCTGGCTCGCCTCGCTCCTGCTGCTTTAGCCGGAGCGCACGATTAGCCCCGGTTCCTGTTGATGGATGGAGGGGAGGCGGGAGCGCTCTGGGTGTGGTCCGAATCGCTCGAGGCGGTGCGTTCGGTTGCAGCAGTAGCCTTCCGAGTCTTGTGCCCTGCCATCCAGCAGGCACTAATGGACAGTTGCTCGCTCTGAACTCATGAGGCCTTAAAAGGGGTGACGATAGTGCAGTGGTTGGGCAGCGCGTCTGGGAAACTAGAGGCACGGGGCTCGATTCTCCACAGTGCTCGCTCCTCCTGCCAGGCTGAGAGGCGGGTGGCATGATAGCATCAGCAGCTGAGTGCGTCGTAAAGTTACAGTGACAACGAAATATAAAAGTCCGATTCGATCCGCCGGGCCAGCTATTGACTGGACATATATAAATAAATCCCTGGTCTCCTTACAGCGCCGGCCGAGCGAACATGCTTTTAAGGAGATGTCTCCTGTCGGAGAGGGGGATTTCCGCATAAAAATGGGATCGTCCTGACATTTTTCTGACATTTATCTCCATCTGATGCTGCGTTAATGTGTGCTGCTCTGAACCTCCAGCCAACAGAAACTGGTATTGTAAGCTTAATGGTGGACTACCACACACTAGAGCAATCGGCCAATATGGCTGCTTCAAGTGAGCTTCTGGTGGCCTCCACTGGCTTTTGCAGGGAAATTTATTGACCGGTGCAGCTCCTAATCTGCTCGGCGAACAGAAAGCGGAGTTTCCGCATCAGCCGGTGCAAGCCGATGCCCGGAGGGATGGGTGGGCCATCGCACACGTTCTGATCATACCGATTACATGCAGGACGCTCTGTGCGGGCGCCTCGTCTCGGGGCTTCATGGGGCTGGGCCGGCGTTTTTCTTGTACGCCACCAATCCTGGTCATCACGCGATTTACCCCCGTGCGGAGTTGCCTCACCACACTCAAAGCTTGAAAGGTGCTCGTTACTGGTCGTTGGTCAGCTTCCTTTAAGCTATTCAGAGAGCAGAGGCAGGAAGCGAAGGGGTCAGTTTCAGGTGTAATATTTGCCGACTGACTGGAGGCCATATGGGAAACCCTATTGTATGATTGGCTAATGGGGCTGCTGACTCACGGGGCGCGGATCAGATTAATGGACTTCGCTTTCATGCGTTCAGCCCAGCTGCCAAACCGAAATCAGTGCCCGCCTCGTCTCCCAAAGCCGATCGCAAGCCATTCGCCGATAAGTGAATTTGGCCTCCCGCCATTCAGTTCGCCGACCACATCAGAGACATGTGGCACACACCGTCCCCCACCCCCTCTCTACCGGAAATGCGCAGAAATGTCTCTGCTTTAGTTGATCATGTATTACGATGTGGATGATATATTGGGTGACTACACCGATATGCTGGCAGGCATTCACACGACCACGGGATCGGAGCGGTAACTGGCGTATATCACGGCGATACTGGCAACTACCGTGCGTGAACGCGTCTTAGCAACAGCGGAGACGGGAGAGGACATATAACAGGCGCAGAGAGGAAGCATGCGGCGTTTGTGTCGTAGTTGAGCGTGACTTGAAGCACCTATTGCTATAAGCTTGCCAGACTTTTCTATGGAACACAGACCCTTAAAGATATCGACAATGTAGCTAAAAAAGTCGACGTTGTCATCAGGACTCCGGCCTCTGCGCGAAAGCTGTTAGAGGCTATACAAGCTGAAGAATGCTTAACAAGATATGTACCATCAGCTCTCCGAATCTGTCGTTCCAGGTCCGGGACCGAGCCAAGAAGTTCACCCCAGATGGTCGGATGCCTGCACAGGGTCTCAAATTTTGTCCACTGTGACCAATGCGCTGAATAATGACATCAGTGGTTCTCTCCCTTCGACATCCGTCTACTATGCGTAGAGTCGTGCCTACGTCTATCTGACACGGGTGCAATTAGTGCTCAGACCTAGCTGATCTAAAACGCATCGATACTAGATCCACTTGTCCTTCTTTCGCTGGATGTTCAAGGGAATTCATATTTCAAACGTCTTTCGTAAAGGAGCCGCATCGCTGTGGGTGCCGGCAGCAAAATCGCATTTCAACCATCTGCCAAACGACAGGAAACTGCGCTGTAGGTGCGCACCCACCAGCGCTGCGGCGCATTGGCTTTCTAGCACGCCACAGATGGCACTGAGCTGGCACTGGAACCTCACACCATCCCGAGCCCATCATACTGAAGTCGTCACGGACCATCGACCGCCGCCACGCCCCCACTCACAGGCGTCACTGCCCACCACTTCGCCACGGTCGGATGCCGTGGGCGGCGGTCCGACCTGACCCGGGCGTCGCCGGCGGCGTTCAGAGCCGCAGGAACTGCTCCAGCGCCGCCTCCAGCAGGCGGCGGTCGACGTTACTGTCGGCGGCGTACTTGACGCCGCGCACCTGGCCGCCGCCGCGCACCTCGCCGTACTCGCCCACTATGAAGCCGGCCTCCAGCGTCTCCTGGTGCACGATGGTGGGCAGCGGCGGCCTGCCGTCGGCCACGCGGCGCGCCTGCGGCGCTGCCGGCGCCGTCGCCGCCGCCGGCCGGCGCGTGCCCCCCGGCGCCACCGGCACGAACGGGTGCCGGTACGGCTCGGCGGTGGTTGTCGGCGGAGTGGGGATGAACGGGTGTCGGTACGGCTGGCTGGTGGTGCTCGGCGGAGTCGGCACGAACGGGTGCCGGTACGGCTCGGCGGTGGTCGTCGGCGGCGTCGGGATGAACGGGTGACGGTAGGCGGGCTCCGCAGCCGGCCGCGGCGCCTCCAGTCCGAGCGTGGCGCTCTCCTGGCGCTGCAGGAGCGCCAGCTCCCGGCGCACCTGGTCGGCCAGCCGGTCGCCCAGGCTGGGCTCGTTGCGCCCCCTGCCGGTGGCGGTGAGGGCCACGCGGCGCCGGTACGGCCGGCGCACGATCGGCGGCACGAAGAACTGCGGATTGTCTCGCGGCTGCGAGTCCAGGGCTGCCACGCGCAGCTGGTAGGCGACCACCTTGTCGCTGCCGGACGCCTTCTGCTCAAAGTCGATTTCAGTCTCTTTCAATTTGCGCATGGAGACTTCATTTGCCTTCTCTAACAATGCATCGGTCCTGTGAGGAGAGAGCTTAGAAAAGTCTTGCCTCTTTGTGGTCGCTCTGCGAGCTGTTAGCGGCGTTTCTGTCGTAGTAGTCGTAATTATCGTTGCAGTGGTCGTTGGAGAAGGTGTGGTGGACGTGGTTGTTATCGTTGTAGTTGTTGTTGCGGTTGTCGTTGTAGTTGGTGTGGTTGTTGTGGTTGTTGTAGACGAGCTTGTGTGGGAATTTCTGAGGCTAGCTTCCTCGGACACCAGAACAGATAAAGCTAGATGTGTCTTGCCGTTCTCGTCGCCATGCTTCAGGTCTCCCAGAGCATCGGTCGCCCCCGCCGCGGACGACTGAGTTTCAGCAGAGGGCTTCGACTCTGTTGGGGCTGACATCGACCCGGCAAAGGATCTCAACTTTCCCGCGGCTGACTGCGTCCCAGCGACCAGTCTTGGCTCTGTTGGGACTGAAGCCGTCCCGGCAGAGGGTCTCAACTTTGCCGCGGCTGACTGCGTCCCAGCGGCCAGTTTTGACTCAGCCGGAGCCGCGACAACTCCGCCAGAAGTTCTCAACTCTGCCGGAGGGACCCCTTCCAACTCCTCTGGTGGATCGCCATCGAAGACGTCGGGTCCGTAGTCGTCGTACTCGTACTCGTACTCGTATACATAGTAGTGGTGGTCGGACGGCGCCCAGGTGGAAGACGGCTCCGGCGGCTGCTCGGTGGCGCCCAGCCGGTCAGCGATCAGCTGGTGCAGCACGCGAGCGCGGCGCGGCCCGAGTGGGGCGGCGGAGGCGGCGGCGGAGCGGGCCAGTGTGGCGCCCGAGCAGCAGCCAACCAGCAGCACCGCCAGCAGCCCGCTAACCTGCCGGGACAGAGAGGGGGCGCCCCGTCAGCGGGAGGCACGGACCGAGGAAACACTCCCTGGCGCCCTGGGTGGAAGCGCTAATAAAAACGTACAGTCCATTTGGTCGGCATGGGCTCGTGCAGTCATCCGCAGCCGTTGCCCTCGACTGCAATGCCTCAAGCAGGAAAAAACGGCGCTTGCCCAGCAAAATATGCATGCAAAGTTAAACAATAATGTTGGATTTCAAGCTTCAAAATCCCGATCTGTTCCAAAACATAAGGTGGCAGAATCTCAGCGCTTTTTCCAGCCGCGTCACTCCGCATCCATAATTTTTCTCAAACACGTCATCTGCAGAGCACTAGTCCTAGCACTGTAAAAAGCAAAGCCAGCGCCGTTGTGCAAAAGGTATGACGCATGCGACAATAACTATGTGGAGAGTGAGTTGCAAACGTGTGGCGTCTGCGCCTGTTCACCGATGGATGTATCACATATACGCATTACCATCACCGACGTGGCAATTACGAGCTCTTCCTTCGCACGGGAAATATAATCTTCTCCTTAATGATGGGAATGTGAAACTTGTGATTAACAGGCCATAATCGGCATTGTGGTAGGCAACGTAGTAATTATTTTACTATCTCTATGACAGTTGACACAATGACAGGATGCGTAATTGTATTACGTGTATGATTACTTCTGTGATTAAATAAAAATTTGTTCTACCAAGCCTCAGGCACCTAAGTCGACATTGCTTTCAGCTCTATGTAATATAAATCTTACGACGGAAGCGATCGTTGTGATCAGCTTCGACAGCTTTATGATTTGCGTGCTCCGGGATGAAGCTGCAGACATGCAAGGGTAGAAAAGGCATCATTCATATCACAGTGAGCGCGGATAATCGTTTGACGAGCCATCACATACAGTACAGCACAGCCGGTAAGCGCCTTCACGTCTTCCGTCGTGTGCCAGTACAGGTGCGGTCTGCCGTTGAAGTTGAACAACGTCATCGCGGCGAGGAAGAGTGAGCGGATGCATCCTTTCACTCCACTCCCTTCCCCCTCCATCGGGATGTAGAGGAAGTGTGAAAACAGGTATACCCGGGGCGCGTGCC